AAACATATTGTGTTTTCTAGTGTTCCTTAGTCTCTTTCCAATCCTTTTCTTGTAAGAACAATTATCATCTCTAATTTTCTGATCATGGAAAAGTACTCTGTCTTTTAGTTATTTCTTCTTTTCCAGAGACCTTGAAGGTGAGAGGGGTATTCATTCCCTGTGCTTTTGCCTATTTCTAGTGCTAGTGAATATCTGATTCTGTAAAATGTTATTCTTATATGAGAATCAAAAAATATAAATTGTTGATTTTGAGATGAGGCCAGGATGGAGTCARGCATAGCTCAAGTCCTGGAAAAAGAAGAGGCCCTGACTAATGCTGYAGACTACTCTATTAACACCTTCTCATTTGTATAGGCCTTCTTATGTATTTTTATTTGCCTTGTAAATKAGGAGCTCCTTGGAGATAGAAAAGTGTGTCCATCCATCTGTTTATACGATCATTCTCTTTAGTATTTGAGCACTCATCCACTCAAATTCTGCCTGATCCCTATCTCTTCCCCCTTGGAGTGGAGTCAGGGGGGCTTGGCTGGGAGCATGTGCCATTCTCAAGGTGGTGCAGCAGCTGCTCTTTGTATGCTGCCTCCCAGAGCTCCTGCTAAGTAGTATTTACTGTGAACCCAGTGCAGACGAGCTTTTTTAGGGCACAGCTGTCGCTGTGGTACTATATATTCACCCAGCATACAGATCTGCTCACAACAGAGCGTAGTAAGAATTCTCTGTAGTGTGTTGAAAGTAACATGTGATACTTCCAGCCTGCCAACTTGCTTTAAGCTGGGGATGTTGGAAGTCAGATGTCTGTCTTGTAGGAAATTTGTGAGGGCTGMAAATTGCCATCTCTGGAGCAGCACATATTCCTCTGGTTTTCTGAGAGAGAGGTGAAAGAGATTTGGCTTTTCAAGATGAAATYTGTGGTTGGGCTTGAGGCGCTAGAGAAATACTATTAAAATTAGATCTGTTGGTGGTRCCCTGGATTGGATTTTGTAAATCAACAGACATAAATAGCTGTACACTGAAACTGAKGAATGTCTCACTGTAGCATTAAATAAAGGCATTTGCAGCACCTAGCAACTGAAAGCTATGTTATAATCCAGAGCAAGTGAGTTAAGGCTCTTAAAAAGGTTTTCTGAAATCATTGTGTCTAGATCTTGCCCAGAGATTTATTTTAGGAAAAAAAAAAAGAAAAGAAAAAAAAGATCAATGGTCAAATTGAAAAATTTATATTTATCCTTGACAGTATTATATTTTTCTACCTTTATTACTTCTGTAATAGAAGAGAAGCTGAGATAAGAGCAAACTAGAATTTGCTGTGTAGACAGAATCTGGATTTCCAGTCTGTTTCTAAGGGTTAATTAACATTTGTCCTTCCAAAGTATTTTCAAGAAAGCTTTTTAAATAGAACACATTTACTGGAGATTTTGCAAAGACACAGTGAGCTCTTCTCTGTTTGTGATTATATTTAGTAATTTTTTTAGTACATCAGAGATGAATTTTCAAAGGAAAATACCAACAGATAAAAGATAAACACTTTGCATTCCATTCCTTTCATCTGGATATTTAAAAATGGGAACAAGATAGTCTTGAATGTGCCTTGACACTTCAGATCTGTCTGCCCTGTRTCTCCATCTGTATGCTGGTATTTTGTTCACAACAGTTACTGGCTGTTCTCAATGTCTGCTATAAACACATGCTGTGGCTTCACTTGGAACTCTCACAGAGATGTTTCTCAGGTTCTAACTAAAATATGTGTAATTTTGTGCTTTGATATGCATGCTTCATACAGATTATCCATCTGGTCTTTAATAATGCCTTCTGTATTAAATTCTACAGGACCAAATACTCTGGCATGTTTTTAACCAGTGGGAAAACCGGGGGAAGAAGTATTTTTTTCCTGATATTTACTATTTGTCTAAGTAGCAGAGATAATAAACTACATCTATCTTTTATACTTGTGAGTCTATGAAGWAAGGATAAGCTGAGTTTTAAAGTGACATCAGCAGAGCACTGTCCTCTGAAATGAGAATTGAAAAGGTTGAGTTATGTAAAAGAATCCAGCCCAGAATTTGCTACCCTTATATGTAGTTGAAGAGACAACTACAAATCTCTTTCATTTGCTTTTTAGRTAAAGATGACTGAGCTATGAAGCAATTGCTTCCTTGTCTTTCACAGTATGGTTCTGCTGGAGCTCTTTGCCTCAGAAATGGTGTTGCAATGGCCATAGTTAGAAAGTCATGTAAATCACAAATTCAGAGTTACTGAGAACTTTTTGTTTGCAAGGTTCTTGGGATGAATATTTTTTTCATTTAGATAGTGTTTTCTAGAAGTATTAGGCAGAAAATACCTCRCTAGAAGAAGTGAAATTAGGTCACGTATTACAATCATCCCCTGCCTCTAAATTGACTCTAATTCTAGGAGAGTTGTAGTTGCTGTGTCTTTATTTTAACTTTAAAATAAACATCATTTTATGTTTACTTTTACTTTAAAACATCATTTATGTGTGGGGCTGCTAAAAGCAGAGGTCAGAGAAAAGGAGAGGGAAGTCAGTGTGTTACAGCTGTGTTAAACTAGACCCAAATCTAGAATACTTTATCCTTTCTGTGGAAGCTCTGCTTCTCTGGGCTTGTTTTGTTTGAGGCATCACTGGGGAATGGAAGGAAAGTTAAGTGTTAAGTAAGACTACCAGATTAGGGCAGATGTATGACTTTCAATAACTGGATTGATGTTCAAAAACTAGTCTTTGTTCTTGACAAGAGAGAGGTGTACGTGGGAGAGAGTGTCCCAGAATTTGGAACTGGCATCTCACAGTTAATATTCCSTGGTGTGAACTTGTATGTTTCATGAGGAGGTAAAAAGTGGTGTCCTAGAAAAGTGATGCGTGAAGATTATTTGTTAAAAAAAGGATAATCTGAGAAAGACTGAAGTGTCCTACTTGATAAATTCAAGTCTGATTGACTCATTTGTCTGAGATTGGCTTTGGTTCACTTTTTGCCCTTTCTTTGCTTCTTTTCTGTTGCAGATTTTGTTTCTCAATGTATTTGGGGGACTTAAGAGGGAAGGATCTTTGAGTAACTATACAAGTACATGTGGGTGAACGAATAATCCATATTCTTTATAGGTTTCTGGATTCTGTGTATTTGGCACAATGCAAGTCACTAAGATGCATAGAAGCTAATGTTTGTATAACAAGTTACAAAAACTATGCTTGTAATGTGAATCTCCTGTTTTAATTAGGGTGTTTTTGGTTTTTTTTTTTCTGTGAGGGTGCATTAGACTGTAGAATAAAACTATCATAAAGTATTTTCCCCCATCCTTCAATTCCTTAACATCAGGAAAGCACATTGGGGAACAGTACTGCCATTATCAGTAGATTCTACTTGCATAAGAACATTCTATCTGCGGCTGTCCTTCACTCAGAAAATATAGAACTCATTGCTTCCATCTCAAATGAAAAGGTATTAAAACTTATCTCTTCCAGTTGAATCAGTTCTGGAAATTACTTACAGTGCATAATTACAAAGTAATCTTTATTTTAAAGTAGTCAGGGTATCCAGGGTACTGTGTGTTCTAGCACTGATACTAGAGCTAATGTTCTAGTAAACTGACACCTCCCATTGTCAGACTACACTGTCAATTGGACTGAGCACCTTTGATAGGGTGTTAAGAAAGGGTTGTTTTTTTCTTTTTTTTTTACTTATTTGTCTTTGCCATTAAAGAGCATAAACAAGCAGTCTAGAGAATTGTTTTGGAAGTAGGTTTTTTTTTTTAATATGTATATATTATTAGGGTTTTGAGGTTTTATTAAGRAAGGCAAGTTAAGGAATTTCACTTAACAATTCAAAGTGTTTGAATTTGTGTTGGGTTTTGGTTTCCCTAGAAATTTAGCTTCATGGTTTCAGCCTGGCTGAATTCACATGGTAGCTTTGGCTCATAAACACATCTTTCTTTTATGCTCACTGTACTGAAGGAACAGTTTCTGAATGCAGCTTTTGTTGTAGTGTTTTAGATTATTTGGGKTTTTTTTAGTAAGGAATGTAAGGGAATCTCTGAAAATAAGAGCAAAGGCCTATAGCTCTTTATGTACCAGGTGCTGAAAGCAGAGGACAGCTCTCTGGTGTGATCATTAAAWTTTTTCTGGCTGATGATATGTGAAGGTTTTTCTGGTTTAGTACTGTACTGGTGTCATCCATATGGAATATGAGAGGGCTGTGGAAAATTGAAACAGGTATTGTCCATTCAGAAAAGATGTAGTTCACAGGGTACCTAGAGCTAACAAAATGTGTTGCCATAGTGAATGAATGGAACCTCTGAACTGTTGTGTCAGTAGCTGGGTTTGTGGTTGCAGCATTGTGGCTTCTTACTTYTAAGAGTGCTGGTCAGCCTTTGGAATGTGAGGTGTAGCAGGTTGAGGAGATCATCTTGAATATGCATCCGTCTGTGTTGGTAATGGAGCTGTAGTTGTATATGGGTAAGGTTAAGCAGAATGATTTCCTCTAAAGCTTGCTGTAAAAGAAACAAAATATGCCCAAGGCCCCTTCAAACGTATTCATTTAATGTCCCCTCAATAAACTGAATTAATTCAGGGAAAATGGCTCTTAGGAGGAAAAATACAATAAAATCATGCAGTGGAGTTGTTCATTAGTTTTCTGATTTTGAGTAGTATCTCTATATACTGCTGCTATATAAATAGAGATAATTATCCCCTTGAGATAGAGATAAGAGATGGTAAGGGAACCACTACATTGGGTTTAACCTCTCAAAATGGAAGTAACAAGAAGTAGTTGTTGTCCTGGACCTTTGCAGAATTGCGAGTTAACTTTGATTTGTTTAATTTCCATTAATTTTGTTTTTTCACCCATACAATGATGGATACAACTACTCTTGTATCAATTAGTGTATTTTGCTGTATCTGTTATGTACTATAATTCTGGGTGAGTTCTTCAACTGTTTTATATACAGAATGACTTATCAGGATAAAACCTTTTCTTCTGTCTTTTCCCACACAGATCACCCCTGGCAGCAAGGCAGCACAGTCACAGATGAACCAGGGGGACCTTGTCGTGGCCATTGATGGAGTTAACACTGACAGCATGACCCACCTGGAGGCCCAGAACAAGATCAAATCAGCCAGCCACAACCTGAGCCTCACTCTTCAGAAGTATGTTGGTATAACTTCAACTCTCTGCATTCCTAAGGACAACCTATGAAACTTGTGCCTGAAGGTTGCAAGTGTTTTRTATCTGTCTGTTAGATTTATTTGAGGTGCTCATGGCACAGATACAAGATGGAAAGCCAAAATCTGCTCTGATTTTTGTAGAGGTCAGTGTGGATTCCTACAGAAATCCAATGGTTATGTTGAATACATCTGTGTGGGATTTAGCCTATTGAATGCAGGTGTAATCTTATATCCATTCAAGCTTCTGTTAAATAAATCCAATGGTGGTGGATTTTGTTTATTCTTATGTGGGCAACAYAGTTTAGTTTGGTTAATTTATGAACAACTGTTCTAGAAACAACAAACATAAATTGTATGAGTGAATGGGAAGAACCTGTCAATCCCAGGAAGGATAGTCACAGTGGACTGGGAATTTGTGATAACTGTCTAGCACCTGTGAGTTTGAAAGTGTCTGCTCTGCATATGACAGAATAAGAAAGGTGTAGTCTGAGTGCAGGAAAGGGAGGCAGTAGAACATGGAGAGGGCAGGTTTTATCATAGAAATGTGAGAAAAGTTGTCTTGCCATTAAGAAAGCAGTTAATGGGTCTTTTAACTTTCTTCTGATTAATGTTGCTTCCAAGGAAACCTGTTCTCAAGTTAGATAACCTGGCACATTTCTGTAATAAATGCATTAATATTTAAAGCTCTGTAATTTTAGAAAGCCAAGTAGCTGCTAATTTTATTGCATTGTGAAGAAGATAGTCTTTGCCTACCCWGAGCAAAAATTAGTATAGAAAGCAGATTGTGATGTGGAAGTAAAATTTCTGAAAATATACCAAAAAATCTCATACATGAATATGCAGTAGAGATCATCAGTCAGGAACAGATTAATCCCTAAAGGAGTAAGTTTTGCTGAGGTTTCCAAGACAGGACAAAGTACTATAAAGYGAAATGTATGGCTGATTTTCCCCCATTACTTTAAGTTTGTCTTTGTTCCAGATAGAGTATAAAATCACTGCCTTGATGTGTAGTTAAATTCTCATCCTATCACTTCAGCTTCTTTTTTCTTCACTCTGAGTGCTCGTGTTCTTACAAATATATGTATGATATATTTTTTTAAAATATTTACATTGTTCTGGGTTATTTCATATTTGAAAGTTAAGGAAAATCCTTTTTTATTATTTTAGAACTTCTGTCTGCTTTTCTCTTGGATCTTAGTGGTTCTGCATTGAGAGAAAATGTTTCTTACTGTGCTTTGGGTTGTTCACACTTTTTGTATTAATTTCTCTGAATATTGGACCTGAAAAGTTGTCCAGTGTCTGCCTTTATGGCMTGACATTTGAAGCTACAAACCAGCAGCTCTGCTTCCACATAGAGGGGCTTCCAAATTTGTGACTAATAAATCCAGATTATCCAAATACATATAACAGATATGAGTCACTTAAAACAGTAATTTTGATCAAGTGTTGGCAGGGATACTTCATTTGAGTGATCATTGTGCTTTTTTATTTGCTGACTTCTGAATTACAGTACCAGCAACTCTAGTGGCCACATCTTTAAGAAAATGAAAGCTAGTGGAAGTACTTTATTAATTGTTTTCATGCTCTATTTGTTGTTTCTTCTTTTTTTTAATTTTTTTTGAGTCTTACTCTGTCTCTTGGTTCCAAAACAATAATGTATAATTCAGATACTCGAGTTGTGTGGATAATCAATAACTCCAAACAAAGGAGTAATGGAGTGTTTTTTTACAGACTGAAATATGCTTGCATAAATAATAAATGTAGATGAACTATGATCCATTTTGAAAAGAAGGAAAATGGCATAAAGTACAATGAAATACCAGTAAACATAAACAGACTATAAACCTGCTTTTTTAGCAAATGGAAGCTTTCTCAGGTCATATTTTTGCTCTGAACTTATGCAATTAATGGACTTTCCTCTTCAGCTGCTTTATGATGTGAGCTATTCAGCCTCACTGGGAAAAAACAATGMCAAAGACTAAAAAGTAATTTTTTTWAATGATTTTTTTTAATAGATGACTCAGGGCTACTCAAAAAGTTGTTCTCAGAGGCTTAAGCTGGCTTTGCTTTGCACAATTCAGTATTTATATAAGCTAAACCTTAGCAGCATGTGATCTCAGCCTACTGCTGTACGTATAGAACCTATTAAAGATCAAATATCTTGAACAAAAGGCATCTCCACTATATGCAGGAAGTTACATCAATCTTGCCTTGAAAAATCTTTTTTTTTCTGGACACAAATGTGTTAATTTACCTAAGGACAAAAAGACTGTCAGTTAAGTCATCTGCCCAAAATTTACAGTGCAATATACTTTTTTCAACAACAAAAAAAATTTACAGATGTTGGATTGGTGAAAAGAGTAACAGTTGACGTGAAAGATAAGGTAACCGTGACAAGGGATAGTAGCTTTCAACCAAATAAGAACAMGACAGAAGAGAGGCAAAATCTCCTGGGACTTGTTACCAGGAAAATGACTATGCGATCACTTTGACTTTTTTTAGACATGACTTGCAGCAATGAAACTGGAGCAGTTTGTTCTACTGCTATGGAAAAATAGCCCTAGTTGCAATAAAGAGCATAGTGATGGAAGTGCTCACTTATCCTATTTGTATAAAAGTTTGGAAACACTGAAAATCCTTTAAAATTGAAAATATGCGTGTGTGCATTAGGAGATTGACTGTTGTGACAGGAAAACTTAAGCTCTAAATTGCGATGATATTTAACATGTATGTGAAGGAGTGACTGTGCTCTACAGAATGTGTTTCAAGGTCATGGAATGCCTCACCAGGCAATCTGTGGCTTGGTTTCCCTGTTGCAGCACTGGAAGTAGAACTGATCTTGTTTGTTTCATCTGTAAGGCCATGGAAGAAGCGGTGGAATGTGAACTCTCAACRTAAATGCTCCGAGATAGAAAGCATTTTATTTTTCTAATGTCTCTTGGCTCTTAGGAGTGATGGCCTTTCCCTTTATTGATCGTGGCCGTGAAGGTTTCAGGAGCATTGTTTATAAYGTGGCATTCAGACAGTATTTGCTGCTACTCACTTTTATTGTAACAGTTTGGTTCCCTGTGGGCTTTTTTCAGCTGGTTATTTTTTTAATTTGGCTGTCAAGAAAAGCTGTACATGGTGTCAGCACTTATGCAGGACATCCAGTTGCAAGACATCAAACAAAGAAGAAAGGGAAGAGTAAGAGTGCTCATTCATGCTTGCGTGCCTCAACAGTGGGAGTCTATGATTCCCAGTCTGCATTAACTTAGTTTTAATTCAAGCACCATCTGCACTATTCAAGGTACTCACATGGCTCTTCCATGAGTGCTCAGTGCTGGCCTGTATTGAGTTCTCCATGTTTCAGTCATGTGAATATCCCTTTATGGGTTCAGGAATTTGTAGATGTCAAGTTTTTTCTGACAGCTTCCTTCCCCTAAGTCCCTGTTAAATTTGTTCTTGTCACCTCACCCATGCAATGTTTTCAGATAAACCTACAATATTAGACTGTAAGTCTTGCCAGCTATGCCAGAGGTTTGATCAGGCAGCCAGAACTTGTTAGTGGCTTGAGTGCAACGCTGCATTGTCTGGCTGCCTGTTTCTCTGGAGCCTGCAACGTGCCTTTCTTTGCTGCTTTTGGGGAGTTAAAGGATGCAGACAGCCAAGTACCAGGGAGTTGAAGTATTTGGACCGTGCCTGGAGAAAGGGATCTGTGATCCAGTGATGTGGGAATGTATGGGACCCTCCCGACTAGCACTGCTTCCTTAAGTTCAGAGGACAAAGGGCATCTAGGAAGTGAACTCATTTTTGCTGAAGAAAAGAGAGCAGGAGCGAGAAGTGAAGGAAGTCTTTGGCACTGTGCACTATTACTCAGCAGAACTCCATGAGGCCCTCAGGCAAACTAGGCTGATTTTCTAAAGCTTTATATATCTCTATAGATGCAGCTTATTCCTTAGTCATCTGTATTGCTTTAGGTGTACTGAGGGGGGGATTGCTGCTGGTTCTGCTGGACCATGCTAGGGAAGGCTGTAACCATACTCTATAATGGCCTGGATTGGGGTGGAAAAAGATATTGCTTTGCTTTTAGACTTTTTGTGACCTCCTTGAGTTCAGTTCTCAGTCATTTTTCAGTATCAGTTTCTAATCAGTTACTTGAGCTACACAGCTGCCCTCAGGCATTTTAATTCTAGGCCAGTCAAAGTTCATTTTTAACTGTCTGTCTGTCCCACAGATACTAGGCCATAAACATTGAGTCCTGCAGTATTCAGTTCACAGTGGAAAACAAAATGCATGCAAAGTCTATTTTTATTTCATACAAATGGGTTTCTTTTTTAAATGCACAGTAAGTGCAATGCACAAGAGAGCAGCATTATTTGTCAACATGTTTCACTGGAGCATCCACAACATTCATTTGATCTTAACTCAAGAAATCTGATCAGCCTCCCTGGAAAGGATTCACCAAATGTGCTGGCTTAGTTTTGGAAAGTGCTGTAACATGAGTGTGCCTCATTCTGCTGGCACAAACATTCCTGTGTCACTCTGAGGCTCCGCTTTGGCGTCACTCTGTGCTGCTGGAGAGGAGCAGGGGAGGTGGAGACTTTTGTGCCTGGTGCACATTGACAAACTTCCCCCTCCCAGGGCATGCCAGTGATGCTACCCTTTGCTTACAGAAAGTCACAATTTACTGTCTTTGGCTGGAAAGTCATGAGCTAAATAATCCTTTTCTCTACTGAAAGTGTCAGAGGCAAGGCCTCTGATAAACCTTACAGTAAATATTTTATAGATTTCCTTTTTTGTGCAGCACCAAAAGAYGGTTGATCCTGCAGTATTTATTTCAGGCCTACTATAAATAAAGCATGTGGTGACAGCAAACTGCAAGCAAGGGGAGCTCAGTGGTTATTGTAAACTGCTTTCTTTTGTCTGAAGCTGTGAGTAGTAACCAATTCTATGCATGTTTTAGGTCTGCTGATGGGCACATTTAAATGAGAATCAGAGTA